GGCAGTGTAATTCCTGAAAGCCATACACAGTCATAACAAATGGCTTCAAGTGGCATTTGTAGGCTGTTACTTGTTTAGCAAATTCATCTGCTGGAGGTCGTCCACCGGCTGTGGCTGGGCCCGGTCGCGCCCACAGGCACGGCTTAGCTGGGAACACAATCGAAGGGATTTGAGAAGACCACGGCCACCATTCAGTCCTTCGCTGTCTAAACTTCCCTTGTCCATTAGATCATATCTGGGTCAAAGAGCAACCAAAGATGGGACCCCCTGCTCGCCGCACAAAAGCTATTCACGCAAAGAAGGTCACGTGACCTTAGCCGAAAACGGGCGGTCTTGGGTGCCAACAGCACCAGCGTCGCTCTAATCATGATTCTTAACTTCCTAAGGCCTTGCAAAGCAAATATACAATCTGAACCCTGCTGTCTTTCGAAGACGATCATTAAAAAAATCTGTTTCATCTTAAGAGATAGAACTAATTAAAAGACTCATTAGCACAGCACACTGAGGTAACATTGTGTGCTTTATATGAGGCACATTATTTCCAGAGATAGTTAGAAGGTGAAAAGGGATAACAGCATTTCATTAGCCACTGTAAAGGTGCAGTCACATTTACCGTTTTTCAGCTAATTTTAGCGGGCGAATTTCACATGAGGGCGTCTTTTCTAACGTCAATAGCATTTGAGGAGAATGACTTATAGTCATAAAATCAACTGTAAAGTGTTCATTTAGGTGTCAACTATAATGCACACCTTATACATTTTTGATATTTGTTAAAATAAACTGTAAATCATTTGTAAAATATGCTACTTTTTCACAACCGAATGGGCTCAAACACAAATTTAAAGCTCAATAGCATTTGAGGAAAATGACTTACAGTCATAAAAACAACTGTAAAGTGTTCATCTAGGTGTCAACTATAATGCACAACTTTTAAATTTTGTATATTTATTAAAATAAACTGTAAATCATAGGTAAAAATTCCTATTTTTCACTACCAAATGGGCTCAAATGCAAAATATGCCATAATTTAATGCTCAACAGCATTTGAGCAGAATGACTTAGTCATAAAAACAACTGTAAACTGTTAATCTAGGTGTCAACTATAATGCACACCTTTTACATTTTTTATATTTATTAAACTTTAAATCATATGTAAAAAATAGCTTTACTCTGCCCCGCCAGGGCATTGCGAATATATATTGAGCATTCCACCCCGTTCAGGCAGTCGGAACAGCTTTTTGTATGCTTCAGTGTCCACATCAAAGGGTCTCCGGTCACGAAGCAGAGACTTTCCAAATGGATAATCAACACTATCGCGCTAGCATACTCTTCTTTGGGCCTACAATGCCTCATGGGAGTAAGAGCCCACTCAACAAGAGGCGTTGCCTCTTCCTGGGCTTGGTCTAGCGGTGTGTCCATTGCAGAGATTTGTGCGGCGGCCGACTGGGCCTCGTCATCCACATTTACCAGGTTTTATAATCTGGATGTCCCAGCCTTACAGACCCGGGTCCTTTCTGCTTAAATGGACTCATTCTGGCCATATGGCAAAACCAGTGCTTCAGGCGTTTGCCTTTTTCACTGTATGCTCTTGGCCCCCACTGGGTTCCGATGCTGTACAATTTTTCTTGGAACGATTACTCAGCGCCGGGCTGACCTCTGTGAGTTTGGCCCTATTGCCTCTTGTGGGGCTTCCCTGCAAAATACTTGGTCCCTCTGGGCCCCATTTGGTGCTTAAGGCAAGTTCAAGTATTAGTCGTTCTTCTAGCATAGCACTGTGGGATTGTACTGGTTCTCCATAGTGTCTTAGCAGACACAGTACGAGTGAAGTATCGATAGGGAACGTACTCGGTTACTAACGTAACCTCGGTTCCCAGAGATACGGGAACGAGTACTGCGTTGCTAGCCGGGCTATGTAGCTGCACGACTCAGTCATCGCTTCAGTCGAAGCAACCTGAGGATCCTATGGCGAAGTGCCCACTTAATTCTCTGCACGAACCAATGGCCGTGCAGTAACACTGCGTTATTGAAAAGGCTTCAGTATTCGGAGAAAAAGGAGTTTTTCCCATAGCGTCTTAGCAGACGCAGTACTCGTTCCCGTATCTCAGAGAACCGAGGTTACATCATAACAGAGTACGTTTATTTGAATAAATATCAAAAATGTAAAAGGTGTGCATTATAGTTGACACCTAGATGAACAGTTTACAGTTGTTTTTATGACTGCAAGTCATTATGCTCAAATACTATTGAGCTTTAAAATACAAACCCGATTCCAAAAAAGTTGGGACACTGTACAAATTGTGAATAAAAACAGAATGCAAGGATGTGGAGTTTACGAGATTTGTAAATTATTCCATTCCTTTTTTTACTCACAATTAGTACAGTGTCCCAACTTTTTTGGAATTGGGTTTGTATATATTTTGCATTTGAGCCCATTCGGTAGTGAAAAATAGAATTTTTTTGTTTTACATATGATTTTCAGTTTATTTTAATAAATATCAAAAATGTAAAAGGTGTGCATTATAGTTGACACCTAGATGAACAGTTTACAGTTGTTTTCTTTTACGACAGTAAGTCATTCTCCTCAAATGCTATTGACGTTAGAAAAGTGTATACCAATATCGCATGCAACTTTAGAGACGGTCCCTACATTTGCGAATATCGAACTTCCAACGTCAAGCCAACTTTATGCCAGATTTTATTAGTGAGGTGTGCCTTAAATATCACTATCACTTGACAATATATATCGCTTGTGTAGCAGCACTGCGCTCATTCTTCTGTTTTCCTGTTGGTAGGCTATTTCCACAGAATGAAGGGTTGTACGAATTTTTGAATGAACTGCTCGTTTTAAAATCTTCACGGTCTACTGACATTTGTTATGACATCCACTTTGAACATTACAATGCACATGATAACTTTCGTTAACTCTACAAAGTAAAGCTATAGCTACCGCATAAACGGAAGTTCAAAGACAAAATTCAAAAAGCTGCGCAATTGTTTCTATGATGCATAACGTTTATATACGATGGACCTTTGACCGTGAAATTTCGCTAATCTGACTATCTTCATTTACTGTTGCTCTATTAAATTCAGTCATTTCAAAAGGATCCAGAGTTTTGGACATTTCTAATTGGTCAAATGAATTAGCCGCTTTGACCAACAAAACCTGTTGAAAAAAACCTGTCTGCAGCAAAATCGCTGCAGATTTGCTAATGTGTTCAGAGAAAACCAAAAACCAACCCAGATAGCACACGTCCCTCTACAAGATGTCTGATAAAGACCGCTTGATCTGGAAAGCATCTGCTGTTTACAAACATCTGCCAGATGTCTTTAAGATGTCAGTTTTACATACATTCTAAACCATAAACATCTTAAAGACATCTAAAAAACGACTATTTGACATCTGATAGGAAACGTCTTATAGACGTATTACAAATGAGCAAACACTAAAAACAGCCTACTTCTTGCAGCTGTAAATGCAGACGTCAAATAGACGTCTCTGTGGTGAGGGCTACGTGTGCTATCAGGGAACCAATGCAAAAATAGTGATGGAAAAGTGTATTATATTGTATACAGATCCTTGTGATATAATATCCGTGTTGCATTTGTATTATATGTCGTGTTGTATTTGTATTATATGTGGAATCAATACATGAATACAATTTTCATATTTTGTGATCACGTACCGTTTGTTTTCACTTCTATCAGACAATTGTTGAATATGAATTAACAAGCAAAAATTGTGGCGCTCACACAAGATGGCAGCAGTTACGCTGAGCTTTTGCTGTGCGTGTAGCCTAACACTGGCAGATGTTTACAATAATTCAACAGGATCATAACTCAAACACACACACACACACACACACAGAGTGTTAGACAGATACAATACCAGAGGGAGCATTAGCATAGCAGCGAATTGCCATTATTTGCTCAGATGGTTCCTGGTATTAACACAGAGCTCTATGTAATGAACACAGGCAGACTCTGTAAAGCACCGAGGTTTGTATTCTCAGCTTGTCTCCCCCCCAGAATAAAAGAGAAAAAGAGAAGCAGAGACTGCTTTTGTTTCAGTCTATTTCCCTCCGAATAGTAATGAGAGCAGGCAGTGAAGGGACAGAACCTGTTCTCTTCACTACCTGTGTGACTCCACTTTACTATCTTAAGGATTTATTGGATAATGTATTTGCATCAAGTTCAGTCTCGTTTTGTCCCTCTACTCTCTTAGATTGTAATATTAGACTTGGTAAGATATTTGGCATTATCTCAGCTGCAGGTGGTGCTAACCGCACTATATTCACAATGCATTAGCCATTACCTTTTATTATTAGGTTTTCCTACTCCTGTATTTTTTTTTTAAATAAAGATACGTTTGAATCAGAATAATCGGTAATGTTTAATGAAACTGTCTTGCCTTGTTTTACCGACTCTAGGCTGTCTATAATAAACAAAGGCATTTAAGCATCATGAAGAACAGCAAATCACTTCTGTAATAGAGATTTGATGCTAAACTGATATATTTACGGTCCAAGATAAATTTAAAAATGCATTTTTTAGTGAAAAATTATATAATTTACTCCATCTTGTTACAAACCTATCCCAATGTTCACGCTTCTCTCTTCAGTGCAGAAGCGGATGGTGACCAGGAGATTGCAAACTTCAAAAATAGCATCATGAAACATTCTATTTCTACTTTGAGAAATAACAACTCAAAATGTACATTTTTACGTAATTACGTAATACAGTAGTGGTCACCATTCACTTTTGATTTTATACAAAAGAGCAGCTTGAACATTCTGCATAACATCTCCTTTTGTGATTCACACAGGAAAGTTCATCATATGGGTTTGGAACTACATGAGGGTGAATAAATGCCAAAATATTTGTTGTATAAAGGATCATTAACTCCTGTGAGTCGAACACATGAAAAAGCCAGACAAACTTAAGTCCATTTTTTTATTTTTTTTTATAACTGCAGATTTAATGAATACAACTGAACATTGTTATTTTGAGACTCATAAATTAAAAAAAAAAAAACCAACACTACAAAAACAATCTACTGTTAGTAGGATGTAAAAAATATCTTTCACTATTAAAGGCACAAAATTTACTTTGTGACAACACTGAGAAGAAAACCTGCAGCGTTCGATCTCTTTAAATTCTTTATTTTTTTCACACTCCATCAGAGAACACTGAAATGTTACAAAGAGATGTGTCTGATCCTACACCGAAAGAAAGACTACATCAGGAAACTGATGCCAATATCTGTAGCACAACATTCAGAAAGTAGTGCCACAAAAAATAGCATGTTGCTGGAAAAGACAGAGGACCGTTGCAAAGCTCTAATGCAAATAAAAATTTGTACAATTGACAACAAACTGAAAAAAATAATAATAATAATTGGGCACCTTCTAAGATTAGGCTAAGATTAGGTGCTGAGGTAGACGTAACTATAACAATTCAAATAATAATAATAGAACAAACAAAAATAAAATCCCCAGAAACAAAACACTATATTCTTAAAGAGCAACAGGACTGGCACTTGTGCTGTCACAAGGGAGGAAAAAAATACAGACAAGCCAGAGAAGGAGAGGGGGAAGAGAGAAACTGCTTTGTTACATAAAAAGCTTTGTTATGCTTGGTCCGACAGGGCAATTGGTCCTCAGTGCTAATATAAAAAAAAGACAACGTCTTGGTGCTTTGTTACTCAAACAGTTTAGTTTTGACCTCAATGGCACATGCATGGCAACACAGCATGAAATGGCTACTCTTTCTAGAACACCACACTGGAACACAGTGAGCCAACTCCAGGGATGCAATGATAACATAAGTACTTTAAACAACAAATAAAAATGTCTAGTAGGGGCAGTACAAATGCCGAATGTTAAAGGGACATGGTTGAAAAGTTTAATCAGCAAACCTGTTGCTGAGGCAAAAAAAGAATGAGGAAATGAAAGTAAGTTTGATTCTCAAACATCAATTTTTCCCCCTCAAAGCAGAATATTCATTGTGAAAAACGCTCTTATTCCGATCCAAGGAATGTTTGGCTTGTCTTTGTCGAGCTGTGTATAAAACACTACAATACTGATCGGTCGCCAGTGGAACCACTGAAAATAGACCAAATGATCATCACGTAACAAAAATCGTCTCAAGTGAATCCATCCGAGATCATCATGGCACCCCTGGAGCCCTGAAGACACCAATAATTTTCTTGAAAATACAGAAACTAAGCAGATATATGTGGACAATTTGTTGAACAATTTCATTTAGGCACAAAGATATTACAGAAACATCAGAAGAACATTGAGGGAAGAACTATATCGATGCCAATATTTTTTAATCACGGTGAGAGAAAAGTGGCATAGAATATGACTTCAGATTAGTGCATTTGACACTAACGTGCTCACACACACACACACACACACACACACACACACACACACACACACAGTGAAAACACTCAAAGCAAAGTACAAAATCAAAAAGGTACACTAACATGTGACTTAATATCTCGTATTGTTGCCACATATTGCAAAACTCTGTTTTACCCATTTAACATCAGTCGACATTATCCATTTACAGAACAAAATATATATTTCTGCCTTTTTTTTTTCATGGCGCTACTAGTTTTTAAATTCTCACAGGGGGCAAGTATGCCCAAACTCACAGTGTTTTCCAGAAAACAACGGCAAGACACACGACAATTAACGTTTCCTTTGACGCGTCTTCCCATCCCTTCTTTTTTAGTCACTTCAAGTAAAAAACAAAACGTTGGCAACATTGATTGTTTTGTCTGAGATATCGTGTGCAATGGAATTGATCATTGGCATCACATCTTTTTTAGTTTTGTTTGTTTGTTGTTATTTTCACAAAGGAGAATGTGGCTGATTTAGTCCTTCACCTGCAATGTATTGACATCCAGAAAGCAACATTTACCACTATAGGATCACGCACTGTCCAACATTACCGAAGAGGAGCAAGGCAAACGATTCAAACGAGAGAATAATGATATAAAAAAAGAACTACAAAGTTTTGCCCCGCTGCAACCTCAACAAATGGAAAAAAGGGACTGACACTTAATACAAAAATATCACAATTTTATATATCAAATGGCCTCTGTTGGCTCTTGCTCAGGACTACACTCATACAAAGAAACATGTCAACTGACAGGATTTTTCGTTTTTTTTTTTTCTTCTTCCTTTCGTCTTTGATTACCACTTGCAGTCCCAATTGTCCAACGCACAATGCACTGCTGCATATGACCTGTTCTTGGCGGCTCACGCTCTGTGAACCTTCTTTTTTCACATTACAAAACTACAATTCTATTCACATATTTTCAAGTTTAACGTTTTTTTTTTTTCCAGACTTTAAAGTACTACACTTCACTTGTTCCATACGCACCTCCCAGATCAACTCCGACCCCGAACTTAAGGCTTCAGAAATCTCTTTTCTGCTCTTAAGGTAACAATTTACAGGGGTGGGGGGGACTGATAGGGAAAGTTCTGATTATTTTTTTCAATTCGCCTTTCCTATAAGCAAATCCTACCCTTTCATATTCGTCGCTTCCGACGTACAACACTTGAAAGCGTGAGATGAAGTTGAAATAACGCAAAACACAACAAATGTGCTTTCGCAAACGAAACAACAAAAAGAAACAAAACTTAGAGGTAGCTTACAACAAAAATGACCAAACCCACAAGCTCTTCAACAAGCAGGGTTAGTAAAACAAAACAAACAAACAAAACAAAAACATAATACCAAGTTTGGTAAGATTAATGCAAAGAAAAACAAACTTCGAACGAAAGACAATCTCTCTTCACCATGGCACTTAATTTCGTAAGTACATAAAAGCACACGCCGCTCCTGCTCGCAAAGCAAACAGTCAAATATATAAAGAAACAAAGGAAAAATGAAAACACTAGCACATGAGGTCACAAAAAAACGAGGTAATTCAAGTACGATGTGCTGAAGTAAATCAAGGTATAATAGGAAACACAAACAAAGCGAAAGGAACCAAACCAAAAGAGTTGATCTGCTCTGTTCATTCATCCCAGCGTTCCCGGCTGGACAGGCCAAGCCTCATGACCACCTACGAACACACGGATATGTGCGGACGAGCCCTGTACGTCACAGTGCCGCTCAGTCTGCAAGCCACTGACTAAAGCAGCTTCAGTCATCATTTTGGTCTCTATAACAACAGCATAAACAGTTGATTAGATTTCTAGTGTGTAATGGATGTTCTGTATGTATTGCCAAGTTACTCGTTTCGAACGGTTAAGCGATTTCAGACTTGATAAGCGAAGGAGGAGATAACATGAACATGTACAGTGTGTGCGTGTTATTCTGCTTGAAATAAACTCGAAATGTTGCGCTTGAGAAATCAACATCAAACAAAAACTGTCGTCGTGAAGTCAGCTTGTAATACGCGCTATGCCGAGAGAAAAAAAAAAGTTAAATGACATTGATGAGCAGAGTACTGAGAGCTTAGCTGATTTGTACGCTGGTTAAACCAATAAGCCCTTAATGAATGTGAATCATATGGGAGGGATCTACATGCTGACTGTCAGCCGGGCATCGTGAACATGTTTTGCAGGAAGCTTACGTTCCAGTTTGCAGTAATGACCCTGATGAACATGACTGTTCATATTTGCTGTGGAGTACCTGACTGGCACGTTACCACTGAAGGGTCTAAGTGCTTCCTGCACATCTCTGAGAGATAAACACTGTGTCTGGTTCACACTACTGTTTTTGTACCAGAAGAGGGCATCCTTATGAAGAGGAGGAATCGTTGTTGAAGTGTGTGTCGTTTGACTGATAAGACATATTTAACGTTTGGGACGTAAGCTGACATGTAGAGAGTGGACTTCCCATATACGGCTATAACATGATGCTTTTTTTTAATGTTTTGCTATACTGACGGGGTAAGATTTCTGTCCGCCTTGCCCAGCACCACCAACAAATCCATCCATTTCCTGACTGTGTTTCCAGGCGCTTCAAACCCCTCGCCCTCCTGCTCCCTTCCCTCCCCGTCGTCTCCCTCCTTCAGACGTAGCAGAGGTAGAGGTAAGTCTTCTCTATCCTCCAGTCCGGGGGGATGTCTTCGGGCTTGTGGCCCTTCATGTGCTTCTGCATGGAGGAGAGGCTGGGGCAGTATTCCAGGCAGATGGTGCACTGGTACGGTGAGGCTCCGTTGTGGGTACGCAGGTGTTTGATCATGGCCGAGTAGTCCCTGGAGCGCTGGTGGCAGAGCTTGCACTCAAACGGCTTCTCACCTGCATGGAGAACAGAAAATGTCAAGATTTTGCACAACATGTCAAGAGATTTTGTACTCCGAATGGTGCTCTCTGATATTCGTGAACAGACAGGAATACTCATCTGTATGGAAAGTAGGAATATGATTAAGTGAATGACTCTCTTAGTAATGCTATGCGGAACATGGTTTTGATGCATAATCCATAGATAGTCCATAGATTTTTTTTAAAAATCAAGATTTTAATGTAAATTTACATAAAACATGAACTTATATACATAAATCACACATATAAATTAAATGATGAATAAAATTGATCAAAAGCAACAGTAAAGACATTTACATTGTTAAAAATCTTTTTTTTTTCTCAAATAAATGCTGTTCTTAAAAAAATAAAGAAAAAAAACCTAAAACATATCACAATTTCCACAAAAATATGAAGCTGTTTACAACATTGATAATAATAATAAAATAAGGTTTCTTGAGCAGTTACGAATGATTTCTAAAGAATCATGTGACACTCAAGAGTAATAGAGTAATGGCTGCTGAAAATGTCACTGTCATCACAGGAATAAATTACATTTTTTAAAATAAAACATTAAAATAGAAACCAATTTTAAATTGCAATGATATTTAATAACTAATGATTTGACTGTATTATTATTATTTTTTAACTACTGATCAAATATGTTTAAAAAAATATTTTTGTATATATTAAAAAAAAAAATTCTCTGTCTCATAACAGACAAGTGTACAAAAACTTTGCAGCATAGTGTAACTGAAAAACAATCATGTGGAACAGCAGTGAATGTTGCATTTGACAAACTACACAGTTAAATAAATTTGTTTCTTAGATCAGAATGTTGACAGAAACCTCTTAAAGAGACAGTAACGCAAAGCGCAGCACATTTGTTTTCTGACGGGGTAAATTAGTCATCTAAACGTTGACCTTTAAAAATGTCACTAGGGAAAGCATTGATAAGTTGAGGATTGAAGAATGCTCGTGTTGGGTAAAGGCATCCTGGGAATGCAAAGTCTCTGCGTTGTTTGCTCAGGTCTTCTGTTTGTTTAACGGAGGGATTGAGGAACCTTGACCTCGGCGGTTCGAGCAATGTCACGTCCGTCTGCGTTTGCGTATGTAAAGGCTCTAATGAGACAGTCATTAAATCGTCGAGACTCCAGTGATACATGCACGTGTGGTCAGTGTACTTTAACTGCACTGTAAACAGGGCAGCCTCGGATAACCAGGCAATAATGAATTGCAAATGGAGCCGAGTTATTGATTGCTCATCGACAGGAGCAGGGCTGCCAATGTCGATGCTTCATCAAGCGGCTCCCTTTTTGCATGCAGTGGCCTTTGACTGTGAGCTTGTCGTTGTTCTTGTTATCTTGGGCGCTCTGTGCTCGCCGCCGAGGCTTTAACCCATCCCCACCCCACCCAAAGAAGCCAATTATTCGACAGGCTTTCTTGATAGTTTAGCTTAGCGGCATCGCTTTTTGAGTGGCAGAGAGGAGGGGAAGATCTGGTGTCCGTCATGTGCGTCCGAGAGACCTGGTCTCTACAGTACCGCGCTAATCCCCTTGTCAAAGAGTGAGCCGACAGCACTGGAAATGGCCTGCCCTTTGGTGTGGGCTTTACAGAGCGCCAAAACGTATGAATCAATCAGATATCACCTTAACAAGAGGAAAGGGGCTCTGAAGCAAAACAGAGGCAAGGCCTGCTCTGGCATCGGCCTCAGCTGTGATCTAAAGATCTGATATGACGCTCGCCCGCTGACAAGGATAACAGCAGCTCTACATGCGACCGTAGCGCTTAACGTGATTTAAGTAGGGCATGTTACTGGATCAAAATCCTCACTGGTGCTGGAAAAGTAGTACAATAAACCAAGGAGGACTAGAATACCCAAATAAAGCTTTTCCAGTCGCCTTGGCTTGATAAACAAGAAGAAGTGTACAGTACCTGTATGGACACGGTAGTGGGTCTCTAGCTGGTGTTTGAGGCTGAACCTCTTGCCGCAGCCGTTACATTCATAGGGTTTCTCTCCGGTGTGGATGCGTTTGTGTCCCTTCAGTGTGCTCTCGTCTCGGAAGCAGCTGCCGCAGAACTCGCACTCAAATGGATGGTCACCTGCTGGACAAAGGTCTGGTCAGTATACGTAGTATACGCAAGTTAATGTTAATCATAAACACAGTTATGTGTTTAAATTACACTTAAAAGGATAGTTCACCCAAAAATTCCTGTTTCTTTGCACAGTATTCTTGCAGCTTCAAAAAATTACTGTTGAACCACTGATGTCACATGGACTACTTTAACAATGTCCTTACTACCTTTCTGGGCCTTGAACGTGGTAGTTCCCTTGCTGTCTACGCAGGGTCAGAAAGTTCTCGGATTTCATCAAAAATATATTGTGTTCCGAACCGAAGATGAATGAAGGTCTTATGGGTTTGGAATGACATGAGGGTAAGTAATTAATGATAGAATTTAAATTTTGGGGGGGAACTTATCCCTTTAAAATTGTAACTTCTATACCTTTAGTGACAGAAAATGACATTGTTGCAGTGTTGTGAAACTCAAACAAACAGAACTATGTTTATAGTTGATAGAGCCATAAAACAGTGTTTACTCTGACTTTATACACTGATACACATTGGAAAGCAATGGGGAAATCTGGGGAAAGCAAAAGTTGGTTATCACGGCAAAACAAAATGTAAAAAGAATAGAAGAATACATTTTACAACCTCAAAATGTCAATGAACTGAATATACAAAGGCTGTAAAATGAAAAGATTTGAAAATGTTAGAAAATAAACAAAGCATTAAACAGCTAGCCTATAATATTTATTTGAAATCAAGCCATTATAAGCTTTCAGTACAATATCATCAGTTGTCTGTTATAGGTCATTGTCATCTATATCTTCCTGTCTTCTTGCACTGTAATGGATATTCAGAGGTCAGTAATCAGTGATATTATGATATGCGGGGGTGTTTCTTTTTCTGCTCTCTGCTCTAATTGCGTTTTTGTGTCTCACTATCAGCTAACCATACATCACTCTCTCTCCGTACAGATGCACGACTCCGCCAGGCGTGTAATGTTCCCCATATTTAATGCATTTCACTTCTGTGCGGAGGGTTTAAGTCATTGTCTATGACCTACGCGTTTCATTATCTGGCTGTCCGAGCGGCACCGTGCCTGGGAATAAATTGCATTTCTCGTTATGTACTGTCATGCTCAGACTCCCGCTGCCTCCCGTTACCAGACAATGTCAATTTCCTCAGGCATGTTTTGTGGCGAGATGCAGCTAAACGCCTCACATTTACATGGCTGCTCGGGCTCCACCGTCTTCGCTTCACCAGTAATGGGAGAGACAAAAAAAAAGCAGGAGATGACACAAAACAGACAAAACCCCCCCATACATTTCAGAAATCAATAAAAGTGACAGTATTTATTTGTGTGCATGAAGTTATCAGTCGCTGTAAGAAATTTGGCGCTTCGAAATGCCTCCGCAGCAGAAGAGATCACAATCCATCACGCTCCCTGACTGCTCTCCGGCACGCGACGAGAATAGCAATCACGCCAAATTCACCTGACGTTAATTGTGCCTAAGCTGGCGCTTCAATCGAAAACATCTGCGTTAGCCTCCAGAAAACTGGCCACCAGTTAAATCCGCAGGCTTGCTTCTACCCTCAGTAAAAGCATATTTAATCTTTATTTGACAAAATAATTTGTGACAGCTATCTCATGATACCACAAGGCACAAATTCATATATAAAAGTGACAGTATTTATTTGTGCGCATGAAGTTATCAGTCGCTGTAAGAAATTTGGCGCTTCGAAATGCCTCCGCAGCAGAAGAGATCACAATCCATCACGCTCCCTGACTGCTCTCCGGCACGCGACGAGAATAGCAATCGCGCCAAATTCACCTGACGTTAATTGTGCCTAAGCTGGCGCTTCAATCGAAAACATCTGCGTTAGCCTCCAGAAAACTGGCCACCAGTTAAATCCGCAGGCTTGCTTCTACCCTCAGTAAAAGCATATTTAATCTTTATTTGACAAAATAATTTGTGACAGCTATCTCATGATACCACAAGGCACAAATTCATATCGTAATACTCGCCTGGTACTTTTTTAGGCTACCTGGTATGTAAATGCAGCGTGTCGCTGCTATAAACAGAAGGTAATTTGCTTATCAAATTCTGTTTGGCGGCTTTGCTTTGTTTGGAATACATTAAGCTTTGAGGCAGTAAAGATACAAGGTGATAGATCAAGATGCTGTCACCGACTGCGTGTTCCTCGGTTGCTTTCTGTGTCTGTCTGTAAGTCTGGTGGCTGCGAGGCACAAAGAGGGCGGAAAAGACATTTGGGAAGCTCGGGGGCTGCCACCTGCGTCCCCGTGCCTCAGGGGACCGCTGCGGTGGCGTACCTGGCCGGGGTCTGCGGGCACCGCCTGGCTCCTGGCAGGGGCGAGGCTTACGTTAAGGCAGGGGCCGAGTTCATTATGCGCTAAGCAGCGTAAATCAAGGATCCATCACTGCCAGGGTCTCGACTGGGCTGCACTATCAAACACAGCTGCGAACACAAAACACCCGCCGCAGATGGAAAATGGGCTCCGAATAAAACACAAGCACAGAACAACAACGGAATATTAACGAGGCACGGCCGGCAGCGTGCGGAACGGAGGGGGGAGCGAGGGGGCTGCCATGATTATCAGCCCTAATGGATGCCAGCGTTCGCTCACACTGCGCGCGCCTGTAAAAGTACACGAGCAAGTACATTCAAGAACATAAATTCCTCTCAAAAATCAGCGGAAACACGTGTAATCATTCGCTGAAATCCTGTCAAAATTGGTTCTGCATCAGCATTTAGGTGGAGGTATGACTGAAATCAAATTTAAGCTTGGGCTTGAATTACTGAGTAATGACTGTGTGGGCCCATAATCACTCATTTAACTTATTTTTGAGTGGGCACCACACACATGGAGCAAAAAGGGATACGTTAAGCTATTGCTTCAGTGTTTTTGCAGAGTACATACCGCAGAGAATACCTGAAAATACTTTGATTTCAACTGAATTCATTTGATTTAACCTATACAACTGATATTAGATAATTATTAGATAATAGTTTCATGTATTTAATGCACTAAAGAAAAAAAATGTGCAAACTATACAAATGAAATGATTAACAGTTCTTTGCAGATGTTTGGGGTCTTTAAGGTATCTTAAAAGAAGTCTCTCATGTTCACCAAGACTGCATTTATTTGATCAAAATTACAGTCAAAACAGTATTATTGTGAAATATAATTTTCTATTTTAATGTTATTATATGCTGATTTGGTGTTTAAAAAACACTAATTATTTCTCTTATTATAATTTGCATCTTTGGTATATGTAAAGTTCAATGGAACAGCATTTATTTGTCAAAATCTTTTGTAACATTATAAATGTGTTTACTGTTACTTTTGGTCAGTTTAATGCATCCTTTAACGCAAAAAAGAGGAAATAATTACTATTTCTACAGTTTTGAAGTGTAATTCATGTATGTAAAGAAATCTTAAAGATATAGAATTCAACATTTTTAAATCAATAAAACACTCAAAGGCAACATTTAAAAAAAAAAAAACAATTGACCACCATTTTATGAACTTAACTTTACATGTGTTATTTTTTTATTTATTTTTGCTGCCACTGGCCAACAAAAAAGTCCTGATGGATAAACATTTGTACAATAAACGTTTGTGAATGTATGTTTTGATAAACATTTGTGAATGTATGTTTTGTTCATGGTTAATAATTCAATTATATGATTCAATTATACTTAAATTCCGCTATACAAAGTGTGAAAATGACTGAAATGCATGATAAACGTCAATCACAAAATGCATGTTAAAATCTTTGAGACTTTAATTCTTTGAGAAAGCCTATGATTGAAAGGCAAAACAAGGTTTTTTATATAAACCACCTGGTGTGTTGTAACTGTTTTAAAGTAAATCAATGCAACAATGGTGACTTCAAATATATTAACATAAACAATAAATTCAAGGAAGATATTTCTGGTGTGGTGTTGATAAAAAGGTACTTGAGCACTATTGACAGGGTTGTAGGAGTACATAAGATTAAAAAAAGGTTGGGAAACACGGCTCTGGAGGAACATCCGAGTGCTTATCACATCAGCGACTCAGTTTCCAGCATTAAAAAAATACACTGTGAATGAGATTAAGAAGATCAAAGGAGAATTAAACGCGAGCAGTGAGTCTTCTTTTTTTGTCCTCTTTAAGAACAAATTTAGAGACTTATTTTCAGTGATTTTTGCAAGTGCCAATAGCAGTTTTTCCCTTTCAGCTCTTTGACAAAAGCCCCCACATCACATTAAACGGGTGCTTGCTAGCGCTCATTGTAATTTAATACACGCCTACAGAGAATTGGGTTCAAACTAGCGTGATGCTGCGTCACAGCCTCTCTCTCTCCCTCCACCATGTCTACGGCGAAGCAGACCGTTGACATTTATGCGTGCAGGCGGGAGCGTCGGCTCCGATGTACGGTCCGGCGAGGACAAGCGAGTACAGTAAGCGCTTGGCCGCCTTGTACCATCAGCCGCCCAATAAAGGCCGGGCGGCCTATAAACAGGCGGGCTTTGCTCATCTTCCACTTTCGCTTCAAATATTCATCCCTGCAGCCGCAGAATAAAGCAACTCTGACACGTCAGGCTGTTATTTAGGGTCAGAGACGATGGGGGGAGAAGGCTTTCTGGAGAAAATGGGATTCCTTTCCAGCGTCTCATATTCTGAGACAGTAATGGAGACTGTTCCCAGAGTCGCCGCATCTGCTCAGCCACGTGTCTGGCCACATGGGGATGGATCCGCCGTATAGCAGGACTAGCCCGACTGGGGAGGGCGATATCTGCACTGTCACAAGCCATCACAGCGCTTTGGCCTTTCGTTAAATGACATGTCACTTCAGCCTGCTATCTTCATTCCATCCACCTCTATCCAGAAGGTGATGGGAAGACGGGTGGGAGAAAAAAAACCAACACAATGACTGTACCAGGATCCTGATTTAAACACTCTACAGGGTGAATCACTTCTCAGCATGTTTAAAATAATCACTCGGCTTGACGGATGTGCATAAAACATCAAAGCACCAAATTAGTATGTATTACTGATTAATTCCAAAAATATGGCTCCTGAGGCTGTCGGTTACGCACAAATGCACAACGTCAAGACACACAAACTGAAGAGCTGATGTGAGACCTGTATGCGAACGGAGATGGCGCTTGAGTGCGGTGTGGCTGGGAAATGTGCGGTTGCACTCGCTGCAGATGTAGCTGCGCACGCCTGCGTGGACCTCCATGTGCTGCTGCAGAGCTGTCTGCGTCTGGAAGCGCTTCCCGCACAGCAAACAGAAGATGGCCATATCTGATCCTGGGAAAAGAGAGCGAGATGTTAGCATGAGTGTACGATTTCATTTACAGTTTGTATGTTAAAGTGTCCTGACTATCTAAAACACAGCAACATTGGCTTTTGGAGCAGGACTATTATTTGCCTGACTCTTTATTGAAAAAAAAATCGTTATTTTTGCAATTATGGGTTCTTGTGAATCCCATGATCACTGTAGAAACTGGACAATCAAGCTGAAAAAGACAATGATTCATTTATAAAATACACTCAGTCTCAGTGGATCAATGGGAGAATCTAATTCAGTACTACAGGGTGAGATGCACATATAATACGGTGCCACAAAAGGTCAGCGGACAGATATAGGAAATGACAAAACAACTAGAGTGGTTAGATGGCTGAAATTAATATTAGCAAATCATTGAAATCTCCGGTTAACAAAAAAAAAACCCCCAGACTCACACCTGGGTGTTTAAATAGATAAAGGCATAAAGTGAGCAATTTTTCCTTCACTTTTGCTTTGCTCTCATACACAGACTCAAACTTCACACTTTTTTCAATTATCAGGCTCTAGAAAACTCTGGGGAAAGTGGGAGTGTTTTAAGCTCCGCTTCTATTTCATGAGTCGATAACACATCTTTGGGGCAAAGCTGGCACTAATTTAAAAATCTATGAGGAGCCCCAGTCTCATGTTCATAAAGCTCGATCAATCAGCATTTGCTGGGGAAAAAACGGGAGCGATTGAGAGGATGAGAGGAGGAGTTCGAGGCGAGCGAGAGAAACGACTATTCCTGTTCTTAAATCTCAGGCAGTGCAGCTGAATTGCTGCTTCTCTGCAAATAAATACTGACAAGCCTTGCTTCTGGCTTTCTCTGGGCCCAGCCGTTTCCCTCCCCCTCTCACTGTCTCCATCTTTAATGACTCCTTATGTCTCTTGGTTTATCAATAAAAAAGGAAGGGAGGTCATTGATTATGGATGGAAATCCCAAAGAAGTTTGGGGATGTGAAATGCAAGTTTGCTTCAGGAAGGTTCATGGCAAAACTAAAGGCTGTAAAGTAACTTAAAAAGCTAAATTTAAGGGGGCGGGTGGAGGGAGATAAAAGACAGGGTGACAGGGGGTAGGGAGGAAAGGCTCTGAGGAATGCGAGAGGTTAGGTGGACTCTGACCCAGGGAGTTCAAGGGACTGGATGGGGCGGTGGGAAAGACTAAGCCACATCACCAGAGCTGCTCTGTGATTGCTCTTAAAATCCCACATTATTGGTGACTGAAACATTTAATAATGATAATTTGCCCACTTTTCATTTCAAGTATTCCCTTCACAGAAAAGCCCAATCAATGACCATGTACTGTGGCCCATGTCTTTTTTTTTTTTTTTTTGAGATTTGGCCACATTTTGGATAAATTACATTACGCTGTTAGCATACTATAAAGAGAATATTTTCCAGACAATATTTTAATAATTTTAAGCTCTGTATTAAGGATTTCTTACCAGTAAAATAACACATCTTACAGTTCACTCCAAATGCACCATATTTCTCAGGTGGTAAGGACACTTCCATTGAAGAAAGAACACTATTTTAGGAACAGGAGAAAGGCAGGGGGGACAGTTGATAAAGCGGCAGCCATGAAGGGAAGTGCAGTGTCCATGTGATTGGTGTTAGCTGGAATTAAGTGTTCCTCGGTGTGAAGTAAAGAGCGTCACAAGTAAATGGCCTGGCTGGGAGAAACTCTTCTGTGAGGTACTGAAGGGTAAGGCAGAGAAAAAGAACTAGAGAGAGAAGTGGCTGACCCGCTCGCCTCTATTACAGTGCAAAATTGAGTTGGACAAAGTGACACATGGATAGAGGACTGGCTTTGGCTTCTGCTGCCTGTTGCCGGAGTTTTGGCATAATTTACCTCCACTCCTGTGTCTATTTATAAGGGCCTCTTGGCTCCATCGCAGTGTTAAGTTAATGGCCCTGAAGAAGCATTGGCCGTTACTTAACAGCGGGTGCACCGCACCGTTTAGGTATTGAGGGTGTTCCGCTTGTGTTCACCACTGCAAACACTTTCAAACTCCAGGATGGTTGTGCCCATATGATCCCTGGCTCAGAAGACAACTTCTGGGAATACCAGAAATCCATGTCTAGCATAATGTGCCATGTAACACCTAGACATAATCTCCTAGAGACCCAGTGAATTCACTTGACAAAAGCAGTTTTCTGGCCTGTGTTGACATATTTGCTGTTGCTATAAGAAGTCTAGGGAAGTCTGTGGTTACATTACAGCCATTAACAACTGGTTGCGAGGGCGGGGCATTCTTATTACTCTAGGGAGTATCTGAATGGACAAAAATCTGTGTAGTGCAGGATGAGTCATCACCATTTTTGAATCACCAAAATAATTTTCCCAGAAGAGATAGACTATGCATTTTAAATGCATAAATGTACTAGAAGTAAATTGTCAACTTTTAGTAGTCTACCAGATGATTTCAAAGATTATATACATGTACTAAAACCACAAAAATCAGATTTTTATTTTAAGAATGCAGTACAGTATGAATGCAATACAAACAAACTGAATGGGGTTGTGATTAAAACTTAATGTGAGAGTTAGACGAGGCAACTGTGTTTCCCACAGGGCCGATGCTTGAACTGAGAAACCCCACATGGAGAGCGTGTGTCGTTCTAAGCTGGTAAGACCAAAGTCAATTAGCATGAGTTTCAATTCGCCCATGCTGATGGAATACAAACTCCTGCTGCTCTGTCTGTCGCCAATGCCGTGAGGTGTGATGTCACCTGTTGCTCAGCGAAGAGCTCGAGAATATGACACACCTGACACCTGTTCTGAAGCTCCGCTTGGAATGTGTTACCTAGATGAGTACGCAGTATGCAGGATGTTGGTGTTTGAGCTGATGTATCTGATATGATGCGTCACTAAAGCTACTATAGTTACTGTAATTTTTTTTTCCGCCAAACAAAATAGCGCCAAATCAAATCAAACAATGATCAGTGATTACGTTATTTAATTAATAGGTGTGTTTGAACAAATCATTTGAGGGGACAGTTTAATATGTTTTTGTTCCTCAAAGGGTGTTTGACTGAATTCAATTAAAGTTTTTGTATAGTGCTTTTCACGATACCAATCGTTGCAACACAGCTTTACAGAAAATATCACGTTTCTACATTACATTTAGGAGTAGGTTATTAGTGGTGACTATGGCAGAAATGTACAGTAAGAATCATGCAGTTAGTTACAAATTACACGTAATTAAACAGACGGTGAACACTATTAACTGCAATGATTATATGTTGCGATTAAACTTTGCAATCATGATTAAACATTGCGATTAAGCAAAATTTGGTAGTTTTATATGTTGTTCCAGGGTTAGCATCATCTGAGGTCTTCTGGGGGGTTGGCATCATCTCTTCTCAGGTGTTCGGTCATCTCAGAATAAATTTTTTGAAGACTTGCTTGTTTCATTCCTTAATGAATCAATGTTTTTGAATAAATCGTTTGGATAAATGATTCAGTCACTTGTCTTGTTGCCACCTACTGGTGTAATGAAGTAACCCGTGGAATAAGTCACTGAAAAATCCCTAATATACAGTAATATTTTAATATTATAGGCCTGTACGGTTAACCACACCCACAATTACGATTAGGTGCTCTTGTCAAAATGTAAAAAAAATAAATAAAACTATGCATGTAGAAGACAGAAAGGCAGACTGACAGATTAGATATGTCTGCAAAGCACATAGAAAAAATCCCTAATATACAGTAATATTTTAATATTATAGGCCTGTACGGTTAACCACACCCACAATTACGATTAGGTGCTCTTGTCAAAATGTAAAAAAAAAAAATAAAACTATGCATGTAGAAGACAGAAAGGCAGACTGACAGATTAGATATGTCTGCAAAGCACATAGGCTTACGTGTCATACATGAGTACCAGGAAAGCCAGTGCCATGGAGTATATACACTAAGACTGTATGGTATGCGTGAAGCTTGTGAGAGAAGTTCCGGTCTGACAGCAGGAGGGGAGCGAGGGGTCATGGGGGCAGCTGTTTGGGCCAGGTGGGGGGTAAGGCTGCCCGGGCGCTCAGGGGCAGAGGGGGCCTTGGCAGTCTGCTGAGCTTGGGGACAATGGGTGCTAGCAGGGGCTCAGGAGGGCGAGACAATATGGTCAAACTGGTGCCAAAACCATACAACCCTTCTAACGTACACAGGGGGTGTGCGGAGCCTCAAAAGAAAGCCCAAATATTTAGTCCCACAATTAGTATAATGTGCAAAACACAGAACTTTGACTCAGTGTGAAACTGGGCCATCAAGAGAAATTTACCATTTCCTACTGTGCTCGCAAGCGAGCATATCTGTGTATAGCACAGCGTACTGAGAACATTAGTCACGAGAACCCCCAAGAGCAGTGTAATGATTTTCATGGGGACTGCATCTTAATTATAATTGGGATGTATAAATGTAAGCATTATAGGAGCGCATTACCAAAGGGCTCTAGGTCTAAAGGGTAAAGTCACATCTAAAGGCTTTCTGACCCATTCATTTCCACGGTAACATGATGCTGAATGAAATCCAAACAACAAGGGGTCTTGCAGTCAGAGCAATTGGAGAGAACTGGTTCTCCCTTGCCTGGCTTCATCTCTCTCCTGTCTTTTTCCCAGCACGAATCAGATTTTTAGTCAGGAAGAGAGCAAGACAGATAGATAAAGAGATGTTACATGAGTGTTTTTATGGCAGAGTGCTACAGGCTGCTGGGAAGTCAACAGGTACAAGCTGTTCCAGCGGCCGTGTGATGCGATATGTCTGCAGCATCTCTCCAGCCAGGGTATTCACTCACTCGCTCGCTCGCTCTCACCCTCACTCCGGCTGACACCTAATGAGCCCAGACTACAGGAGAACTGCACATCCATGTAATCCGGGAGAGTGGCTGGGCATAATGTGGCATTAGAGGAGCCCAAGGCTTTCGGAGGGGGTTGCTGAGGGAGGGAGGGCAGGGACTGACAGCTCTGGTCTGGAATACAGAGT